TGGTATCTCACAACTGCACTCAGTGAAAGCTAGTAGCTGTCAATTGTTATATGCTTACTGAGCCTACTGTCACTTCTGATACTGTGTTTGCATTCTCCAGAACTAAGTTAGCCAATTCCCTATGCCTATAGCTGTGACTAAATGCATTTTTGGGGGTGGAGGTGTGACAGATACACCCCAGAAGCAGTGACTCACCACATTTGTATTGAAAATAGCTACAAAATCACAAAGTGATGATGTGATATCAATTTTTTTAGAAGTTATTTTGTTTTAACTTTAATTGATCAATGTATAGTATGTGTTCTTTCATACAGTGCATCAATATTTGTGCATCCAGGGTGCCAAAAATGTAGCTTTATCTAACTGGTACTGGCAGCCTATACTATTTCCAGTTATCACTTTTGTTTTCTGCAATTTTCTTTCTATTAAAAATTTGCTTTGGTTTTGTCAAAAAAAGATTATGATCAGGTTAAAGTAAAGAGTTAAAAATTGAGGAAAGATTAAGAATATGCAAGTAAAAATTACCCCAAAGTCTTTTTTTTTTTTTTTCAGAATTTTTTCTTTTTGCAAAATTACTAAATACAAAGGGTGTGTCCTTAAAGCCTGTTTATTTGTGTAACTAGGTAGTATTTAGGGTGTTGATCCTATATTTTTAGTGCAAAAATGCATTATTAACCTTTTTGATGCAATTAAAAAAACTATATGCTGGAGGATGGTGTGTTGCTATTTAAAATATTAACATTTCTTGGTTTAAATTTGGTCTTTATAAAAAAATTGTTTCTTTTGTCTTTCAGACATTCTATTTCTTAAGCCACAAATGTGAGCGCTCACATACAATGAAGCGCAATCCTCGTAATATCAACTGGACTGTGCTCTATCGTAGAAAGCACAAGAAGGGTCAGATAGATGAAATTGCAAAGAGAAGAACTCGCCGCACACAAAAGTTCCAGAGAGCCATTACTGGAGCAACACTTACCGATATAATGGCTAAGAGGAACCAGAAACCTGAAGTCCGTAAAGCTCAGCGAGAAAATGCGATCAGGTATAGGGCACCAGACATTATTTTAGATAACTTTTCATCTCAAAATGTTTTGCCATGATGTAAAATGTATAGGCCTAGATTGTATCATGTGATGTAAAATTATTACTCCCAAGAAGTCTCAGTGGGTTAAAGATATTTTTGAAATTTTTGTATCTTTAAATACCAGTATTAACATTTTTGTTCATGAACACTTAATTAAATAAGATCTACTTCCAACTGTAAAGCAGTGGTAATTAACTCAACATATGTTTTTATTTTTAGAGCTGCCAAAGAAAAAGTAAAGGTTAAAGAGGCCCAGAAGAAGACAGTGAAAGTAAGTATAGATTGCTGCATAATTATTTGCTGCATCAGTTATTTTAGATGATCTGTAAAGTGCAATGAAGTATTGGTAATCATAGCTGAAATTTTAAATTTGACACTTCATAAAGCTGTGGACAAAAGAATCGATTTTTTTTAAAATTTAATTGATTTTTTTATAAACCTTTTCCTCCTATCTTGGCTGGAAAGTGGTGAATACAGATGGTGTAGTTTCAGGCAGTATTCTCCTAACTTTGTCTAAGATCCAACCTTATTTACTCTATGGGCCAAGACAATTTTTCCAGCAAAGCCTAAGGGTCACACATTTTTAAATTTTTAGAAATTTATTCACATTATTACTACTTCTTACCTTACCTAATGCATATGGAATCATTTATCCAGTAGCAGTGTCAGCTAATCAAGACTATAAAATAAAAACTATATCCCTTTTTAGTGATTTTGCTTTGAATTGTACTTGTAATTTTCTTAATTTGGGGTACCGGTAGTTATCATTAACACTTGCCCTCATTGGATTTCCTAAATGTTCACCAGTCAAAGGGGTACGTTTATTGGACTTGATGTAGGTCATTACAGCGGATCCAGCTTCACTGGTGTAGGGTGCTTCCAAAAAAAATTGTCAAAATTTTATTATGTTTCCATAGTTATGGAAGTTCATGGGAAGAAACATACATCATTCAAAATTGTTTTGGCTACACATTATGTTTATTTACCAAAAAAAACAAACCTCTCCTATATCTGGCAAGACTATGTCTTAATAACCTGGTACCATAAATTGCCAACCATTTATCCATTTGTGACACCTTCAGTACTCCAGCAGCCATCTTGATTACTCCAGTACAGTAAACTCACTGTGCTCACCTATTTCATCTGAATTGTTCCTGTTGGTGTGGGCATAGAAATTTTTACAAACATCAAATAGCTACACATCAAATTACTTTTGTTATCCCCATGCCCCTTTCTCAATGCCATTAGTAATTATATCCACATGACGCTTGCCCACACACTATGGATGGTATCTGATTTTATGTCATTTATGAGTTCCTAAATGGTGGCTCTGCTGATGTGCTTAATTACTGCTAACTGACAAGCCATCCCTTCATTTTGTATCCTCCCCTTTTTCCATGTTACAACTTCTCCTATGTGATTTCCCAACAATACTAAATCAATGTTTGAAAAAAAAAATATCCTGAAATGTTTTTTTTTTTTTTTTTTTCACATAAAATTTTTGCCATCCCTTCATTTTGTATCCTCCCCTTTTTCCATGTTACAACTTCTCCTATGTGATTTCCCAACAATACTAAATCAATGTTTGAAAAAAAAAATATCCTGAAATGTTTTTTTTTTTTTTTTTTACACATAAAATTTTATCAGATCCTGGCAGGCCATTTAAAATCAGCCTGTGGACTGCTGGTTAGAAAGCACTTGTCTAGAGTTAATGCTGGACTTGATGGTTCTCTTAATTTGGGTTATTGTTTGTGAACTTTCTTGGCCATATTTTATAGATATTTTAAAATTTCATTATTGTGGCTATCATCTAGCTCTTAAAGAAATACATTGTCATTGTTTTCAGCCTGCTCCTGCAAAACAAGCCAAACAAACCAAGGCCCCCAAGCAGCCCGCTACAAAAGCTCCCCGTGTTGGTGGAAAGAGATAAATGTAATTTGTACTCAATAAAATACTTGGTAATTTACATGCTTTAGTTCTGTTTTGTATTTCTGTGTGTTTTAAATTGTTTCTTTCTTTGTGCTTATAAAAAAAGCTTTCCCAGTAAACCTGTAACGTTTTTATTTAACCCAGTCTAAGCCTATTAATCAGCCTTTTCAGCTCTCAGTGACCGAAAAAGGGGACATGAAGTACAGAAAATAAAATTTAGAATACGGTACCTAAATGCAAATAAACGGACATAATTTATTCTTGGTGGACTTAGAAAGATGAAATCCAAATAGTTTTTCACATTTAAAAATCCAGAAAATTGGAAGGGGGAAAAAAAGTAAATGTATCTATTAATTGTACTAATCACATATTACTTTCCATTTCTTAATCTCTGCAAAATTGACGAAAATTGCACCCGAAGAGTTTCTGGAACCCTAGTACTGTTGCTTTTTTGCGTGTCTTGCTGCATCAGCTCATGTTGATGGCTGTGCTGTTGCTTTGACTAAAACTATGTCTGTGTTTCTCCTCAGCTGCTGAAGAGCTTTGCAATCCTGACAGTAAGTCCAGGCAGAACTGGAGATTAATGGCTGTATTATTTCTTGTTTTGGAGTGGAAGGTTTCATGGTCTCCTTCATAATGGTGAAGGCATTGAATTCCTACTTGTACTAGGAACCTAAGACCATACCTCCACCATTTCTTGGCTTTCCTTCCTACAGGGTGGTAGGATCTATACTAATCAGCCAAATCGACACTACACATCTGCCTGTTGTAGTACTTGTAGTTGAGGAATACCTATTATTGGCCCTTCCTTTGATTTTCTAATCGGTTTCAACACCACTCAGTATCTTATTGACAAAATGGAAACTTGTCACACCAAGTTGTTGCCAGCAACCTGCATTTCTGTAAAAACACCCCAACTTTTCTTTTTTTTTCAGCACGTAGTGACCACCCCTTCCTTTTGGTGTGTATTGAATTGTTGTACAATACCGTTACACAAATGAGTGCTTACTGTCAACTGTCGGCAAATCCTCTGCAAGTTTGATGCTTGAAATTTAAATCTCTAGTATAAAAAATGGTGTCCTTTTTCTAAATGTCTTCCCATTGCAAAGATGAAAAGTGGTCTGTGACATTGGGTCTTGTACTTAACCAATACCTACAGTAAAATAAATTACGCATATAGCCATTGCAGGGGGTCGGCAGACTTTGATTTTAATGCCCAGTGGAGTCAGTTTGGTTTTTATTTACTGTTTGAAGAACAATCTGCAGTTAACGTTTAAGCTTATTATTATTATTGCCTAATAAATGCTCCTTTCCAGGATAATAATGTTCCTTACTGTTCTTTATAATAATAAGGTCCAAAAGTGGTCTAAAAAAGGGATATGTATTATTATTAATTGTATTCGTAGCCTGGTTGTCCCTTAGCAATTGTCATGAAAAATGGGCTTATTTTCTTTCATCTATTTTTCCCCATAAAGTCAGCTACGGCTGGAACTCTTGGATCTGGAGACCAGTACGAATCAAGTTCAGGCATGTTGTGAATGCAAATAGCTACTTTTCATTATTTATGTAAAAAAAAACGTCTGATTTCACAGGAGCGAACTGGTTGTTAAGTCTTTTCGTGGCGCACTGCATTTATAATTTCATTTGCTCTGCCATAATATGTAAATTAAGTAAAAGTTACAATACCGGTATCTGTAGAGTACTAGGTTTAAGTTAAATGAATAAATTCGACAAGATGTTTTTCTATGTTGCTTCATCTTCAAGGCTTCAGAGTTTAAAAGATTTTTACCTGATTAACACTATTAACAGATCTGGTTAAACTAGACTCTTACTTCTTAAATTTAAATTTAATGTGCTGTGGTACTTGTTGAATTAGTCAATATTGTTCCATTTAACTGAATGAGAATGTCTTGAGGGAAGGAAAAGCAGTACTTTTGGGGTTTTATTTCATACAAATACTGGTACAACATAATTCTTTGTAGAAGTCATGTCATCGAATTTTATTGGTCCTTTTTTTATTTTCATATTGCTGTAATTCGATACAAGTTAATAGTTAAGTAATTCATATAAACATAAATGTTCATTATAAACAAAACTGGAATGTTGGGGGAAAATGGCACTTGTAAAATGTCAAAACATTAATAGGTATATGGGTACCGGTACTTAGTTATTTCCATTTACCAAGCTGTGTAAGTATAAAATATAAAATGAATACAGCTGGTGTAAAAGTTGAGAAAATTGTTATAAAAATTATTGGCACAAATTGGTGCTGTATGATATGGTACAAGTACAACCTTAATCAAATGTAGGATAGAACACTAACAAAATTGTTCCAAGTCAGTTTTTCTATAAATTCGATATGCCAGTGACTGTTCGATATCTCTTTTAAACTTTTAGGGTATGGTAGTTGAAGTTATTAGTACTTGAATTTAAATGAGTAATGTGAACTAACGGCAAAAATTAATTTGATTACTGTGCATGTAATCTCATACTCATACATTACTAAATAACATTTTGTAAGTGTACAAGTATAAACCTTGTCAAACATAAAGAGCATTAAAATTATAAATACCGGTAATTAATTAGATACATATAACTATAACAGTTTATAGTGCAAGATGGCAAAGGCAGTTCATTCCATCTATTAACATCTACAATTGCAGAGTTAAAATTTTTCGATGTAATTTATTAAATACCTGTGTGGTGGTGGCAGAAAAATAATCTGACAGTAGTTTCACAACCATGCTTATATTTTAGTCACAATTTTTACCTGTAAATTGTAAATAAAAGAAATAACTCTCTTTGGATGTATTTTTAAAGTGTTCAAATTTAGATCTGTTTTACTTGGTAAAAACTTTGTTCACATTCTAACACTAAGAGATTATAGCTTCTTTTCAATTTTGTTTAACCAAATTATTTTGTTAAATATCGATCATACCTTTTTTTTTTTAATCCCTACTGCATAATGCAGGGATTGAAGATTACCAGTTTAATTAACACTACACCACTGTACATCCAAAGAGTGTTACCAGGTACTATATGTTGGAATTGTGATACAGAACATATTTATACTAACGCCAATATCCAAATTTGTATGAAAACCAGAATCCAAAAGGGCAAAACTTGAGATGCTTCATGTACATTGCAACTATATCATTAAACTCATTACAGCGGGTGGGCAGGAGGATATCTCGCAGCCTGATAGTTAGGGGACTTTTCGAGCTTGAACGGGGGTGGGGGTATGTTAAGGACTTAAATGTATAGTGTGATTGCGTGTTTGGAGAGTACCGGTATTTGGGTAGAGGTTATTAAATGTTTGATATTTTTGTGACGTATTGCGCGAAAGGGAAATGATGTATTAGTGTGTTGTGGTTTTTCTTAGGGTAATGGCAGTTGAGATTTAATGAATAAAGATTTTGTATTTTAATATTAATAATCTATGTTTTGTGAAGAGCATAAATTAAACCCCTAGACACAACGAAACCAACGAACCTTTTAAGTAAGACTCGGTTCGTAATAAGGGGGTTTGCTTTGGGGAGAGCATTAAGAGCTTAGGCTCAGTGGCTCACTGACACCATTTTTTAAATGTACATGTTAAGCTCTTTGAACTTGAGTTACAGTATACTATAGAAATATTTACAGACTCATGCCTTTTTCTGTATGTCCTTGTTTCTCCCATTAAACTTTTAAATATACCATTTTATTGCTATGGATATGTTTAAAAAAATCAATTAATTCATTAGTTTAACACAGACGTTGAATTTTACATGATTAGGTGGCTAAAATCATTTTTAGCATGGTAATCATGTTTAAACCTTACAATTGTGCTAATAGCTGCTTTAAAAGCTGTCTCAGAACTCTTCCATTCAGGTATTTTTTTCCACAACAAAATACATACTAGTTACCAGGTACCTCTATCTTTAACTAACAACTCAGGATGATACCGATACTATGGGCTAGTTAGAAAATAGCACAACTCCTTGAACTCTTATGATCCCCACTGTTAGAGCGCTTTGATGATGTTCTTTTAACTTTCTTTCCATTTGTGGACTTCTCTGTTATTGTTGTAGCCATTTTGTTAGTTTTACCGTTTTTTTCCACTCTAGTGTCTTTCACAGTTTCTTCCTTTGCTCCTGTTGAGTTACCAATAGTCCCATTCATTTCATTAAACTCGGCGCTTGGCAGGGATCGAAATAAGGCCTCTAGTGCAAGTTCTGATGATGGATCACCACCATTGGCTAGTATTTCCCTTTCTTTTTCCATTAATTCCATTGCATCTCTGGTGAGAATGGATACATCTTGACTGGTAATAGGGTGATGTTTGATGATAGTTGCAGTGAATTCCAAAGACACATCGTTCACTATAAAAGTAAATAGTACAAATCATAGGCAAATGTGGAAGATTTAATTTACGATTTATTATTTGTATTTCTGACTAAATTCAAAGGTGGATAAAAAAAATATGATCTTAATTGAACATGGAAATATGGCAGGAGATTCCTTTTGCTATTTTTGTGAGCATGTGTCATTTCATTAATAAGCACACAATGATATTTGAAAATATAATATTTTTAATATTTTAAAATAAATCATTGGTTCCTAATGTTTTTCTTAGGTTTCATTCACAAAAAACACAAGCTGTCTTATTGAACAATTTGTAATTATACATTACAATACATACCTATGACAATAATGCTTAAACAAGGGATAAATTGTTTGGTTTTTATTGTAAATATGAAAATGCACTTTACTTACACATTGGTGGTAAAACTACTAATGGGTAAAAGCCTCCTGGAGGCTGGTATACAACCCTGACTAGCAGAATTTTGCGGTTGACAGTTAGATAACAAATGACCAACTGCTCCTCATCATGGTGCAGGGTGTCATCAAGGTATAACAATCCCCAGCCAACTAAGTCGCCAACCTGGACTAGAGTGCTTGCTAGGGAATCATGATGAATCAGATTTAGAATTAGATGTATAATATACCGGGTTTACAGTTAACTATTACTTTTGACATTTTTGCTCATTGACATTAATATTACAGGCACTGGTATTGAAACCTTAATAAAATCTCATTTTTTTCCAATTAAATTCTTAGTCATTTTTGTGGATTGGGTCACTCCCAATTCAAAAATTTTTTATCTAATAGGGTTTGTTATTAAATGGCGGAAATCTATAATTGATAGAACATCCAAGTGTCGAGGTAATTGAATCAGCGATGAAGTGTGTGATGTTATTGTGACAGTTGGGTTCTGTGAACGAGTGTGAAATCTTTTCAAGTCATGGACGGGTGCATCAATTTTGGGTGATAAAAGGGAAGACAACGGCTTTGAGCATCAGAGTGAAATAAGGATCTAGAGAGAGTGTGAGCTAGAGCCAGCGACAGAGAGGATAGTATTTTTGGATTAGATTCGCTGTAGGGCTTGTTGCCTGTGTAGATCTATTTTATGCATCGCAACATAATTGTTATAACATTATCCTGATGTCAAGGAATCATGTGATTTATGTACCAGTAACATATATATATATAATAAAGTACTGTGTAGTGTACATTGGACATTGCTACTTCTTATCAGAGAGAGATACAGTCATTGAGAGTTGGATGTAATAGACCAGGTGAAAGATTTGACATGCATCATAAGACTAAGACATTAAGACTACAAAATATTTGACACCAAACATTCCACTTGGCCTATCTCTCAACAGCTTTTTGATACTTCTACGTTAATGTAAGACAGGGAAGTGTGCCTAATAAACTTATCTTTCACCAAAAATTGTATATAACTATATTTTACCAAAGATTTTACAAATTGTTACTGTTTTATATATATGCTGAAATACAGAATAGTAGCCATGTTTAACTAAAACATTTTTATACTAGTATTCTCAAAATAGTAAGATTATGTAATGGGCTGTGCCGTTTTATAGTCTGAGAAATTACGAAATGTATAAGTATGAGGTTGAATAGTCATAAAAGTAAAAACTTACCATCATTTACTGGCCAGAATCTCAGATAGTCCAGTTTAAGACAAGAATTTGGAGGAGGGTCGAGTGGGGTTGCTGTAGACAGAACTATTGCTGGTGGAGGACTGCCAGGTCCAAACTCATGAGTAAGTTCCACTTCAAAGTGATTATAGCCTATACAGTTTGGATAATAAATATTTTAGTTCCGTTAAAAAGATTTCCCAAAAGATGAAAGAAAAAAAGCTTGAAATAACATGAAAATTGTTATCCAATCTTGATAGATGTTTTATTTACGGTACTTTTTTAGTGCTAAGATTCATTTACAAATCAAACAACCTTTATGTAAACTGTAAGGTGCTTGAATGCAAACAGGGGTATTGTGGTCCTTAACATAAACTGTGTTGGTACTGGAGTCCACTTTAGAACCAGGTGGTAAGCACCAATGGTCTAGATTTATCTATAACAAAAAAAATGTCAAGTTCACAGTATTTGGTGATACAAACTTTTCATAAGTAATTTAATTTAATTTAAGCTTTCAACAGCTAAAAAGATATATTTAAAATATTTTGAAAATGAAACTAAAAAAAAAAGTTTTTTGGCTAACTCATTGGTGACGATAAATTGTGATTCATTTAATAATGAAACTTTAAAGGCTAACTATAACTACACTAAACAGGCAAATCAATGCTTATTTAACAATTGATAGAACTTACTACACTAAACACTGGAGCCCCTCTCATCATGTTCTGCCAGTAGACCTCTACTATCACCTCATGGCCATTAGCACACAGTGCTATTGTTGGCAAAAACTCACTTCTCACTCGTTGAGTGTAGTATGCTGTCCCTACTGGGCGTAAATTTTTGGTAAAAAGAGCCACTGACATTTCTTTTGCAAATGCTTCCATCTCAACTCCAACCAGATTGCCTTTAAGTTTAAGTATAAAGTCAAAAATGATTATTGTAATGTGTACCGGTAATATAAAATGTAGGTAATATTTGTCTGTACAGTACTTAAAATAAGTTTTAGAAGATGACAAAAGTACGATTCCAGTGACCAGCATATAAATATTTTGTTCATAAACCTTACAACTCCAAATTGGTAATATAAAACAACTAAAAAAATGAAAAAAATCAAAATAAAGCTAATAAAGCAGATTTCTTTATATTTAGAGTTACCGGTACATTTAAAAAAGAAAATTAGGAAAAGTATAATATTAATAATAACCTTGGAAAAATCTTTCCCCTGATAAGTTTCCATCATTCCTGCAGTTTCTGTAAAATTTTCCATCTTTTGAAGCCCATCCCACTGAGGGTTTAACTTTGCCTGGATACTTATTTAATGGGAAGTCTTTCCCAGCAACTCCAACACCCATGTCTGAGTCTTCATCTTCAAAAGAGATTTAATCTAATTAAACATAAGCTATTTCTTAAAAACAATAAGAAAAGGAATTAACTAAAATGATTTAGAAATATACTTAAATCATTGTATTGTTTTGATTCCAGCCTTAAAATGATAAAGGACAGCTTTATGAAAAAATTTCATATTCACCACAAGGGTGGTGGAAAATCATGTATTTATATTATACAAACATGAAACAGGTAGGCCTACCAGGTAGTCATTTCTGTAAATTTTTAAGTAATGAGTACCGGTAAGGTAATTTCATTTTTTTGTTGCTGTAAATGTATAGTATCTTGCATTACTTACGCAATTTAGTCACTCGTATTAAAAAGAAATTACTGTCCTCCACAAGAGGTTTCATAAATTGTACAACATGAATGCCAGTCTTGTCTTCAGGCAGCTTCAGGCTACAATATTGATCTTTTATTGTGACAACAACATCCCTTGATGTTCGCAGCATAGAGTCTTTCACTTCTGTCTCACAGTTCAAAGTAGATAGAGGAGATCAGCATATTTATACTAGATGGAAGCTTTTGAAAATTTCTTCATCTGCCCTCCCTGAATCATCTACAAGCCTCCAACCTCTTCCGTCTCCCCCCCATACTTTCTCCCCCAAAACCAACCTAATTTCCCCATCAATTAATTCTTCTACTCCTCAAATACTTTTTCCTCTTCACTATCCAGTAACCCTTTAACCCTCTTCCCTCCAAGTAACCATCCCTTGCCTAAAGTAACACTCAGTATCTTTTTGAGCCTAAATAGATAATAAAAACTTATATATAATATATGTGGCCAACTCACCCCTAATGAGCTTGTCTTTAAACAAAAGCTGTTTTGCTCCATTATACTCCTTCCTAAATTTATCATCCAATGTACGTGCGAGTGCTCCAGGCTTTGGGTTTGTCTCTACATCAATGGTAACCTTAGATGCTGTAAAGAGTTACAATGTCAATAGTAACTTTATATTCTGTAAAAATTTACATGGTCAAATGGTTCATTAAAAGATTATTTTTAAAAATCGCTTCACTTACTTCAAAAAATATTGTCTGAACAATTTTGCATAAAAAATTTTTTTTAAGGGAGCTAAGAGTCAGTAATATTTAGGAGGTGATTCCCTCTATCTAGTAAATGGCCCATAACATCACACTTTGACAGCAACCATTAATTACCAGGGGGGGTAATAAGGGTCTTTAATGAATGCCAAACTAAAGCCTTGAGGCTTTTTCTAGGTTGCCTTTAACACCTTGACTCAGGATCAGGGCAAGGGGTTGTGATACTAGACATGCCAGTCTGCAATGCACCTGGGTAGAAAATGGACTAGAGCAGCGGTTCATTTATAAAGAGCTTAGGCTCTAAATTATGAATGTTTTAGGAGGTGATTTATCTCCTAAATGGCTATTGATATAAATTATCCTAAATTATCCAGGGTGGATTTAATAGCTTATTAAGTTGATATAAACATTTTTAAAATGTGTAATTTAAATATAACAGAACAAGATAAGAATCAGCCAGAAAGCCAAAAACAGAAACTTAATAGTAATAGCTCCCAACTGTGGTTATGAAACTTGCCATTATGTCATCTGTCCTGAGCAAGTGGCACATATGAGGCAACACCATATCAAGAGAATGGAAACAAGTCACATTTGAAAGGATCTGCTATAAGGGAAATTGGCATAGGGGCCAGACGAATTGGATGGTCCAGCCTTCACTACAAGAATGCGTGTAAGAGAGTATTGCTGATGACTTTTCCAGCACGAAATTGGTGGATAAAAAGATTTTCAAGTAATCTTAAGATGCACAAAATGAAAAACATGCACTTCCAGGCAAAAAAATTGCTGAATCGAAATTGAAATTTAAAGACTAACAACCTCAGTCAATTTTCACCTGGTACAAATGCAGCAAGACGGGTCTCACAAGTCAGTCTATGACACAACAGTGTAAATGCATGGTAAGATTTGTACCTACCACCTTCTTTTAGCAACACCACTGGGTAGAATCCTCCTTCAGGCTGCATCATCATTTTCCCTGAAATCACTTCTGTATCTGCTGTCACATAGCAGTAGACCAGTTGCTCTGCTTTTGGATTAAAGTTCTTTAGAGAACGTGTTTCTGGGTTATAGTGCACTCCCCACCCTATTCTGTGTCCCAGCATTGGTTGATGAACTGAAAAAAACAACAAAGATATTTTAAATTAGAGAACATTTGGACATTGTATCACAATTCTAAATTATTTGAATCAAAATATAAATGATATGACAATTGCAAATTTCCTTCGAAGTACTGGTAGCCAAGCTAGAAGAGCTGAAACTAGGTCAGAAAAAACCCCCCCCCCCCCCACTCTCCCAATTTTGTCTAATAAAAGAAATTTGATATACAAAATTTTCACAAGAAAGATAGATGAATTCAAATTACATTGAAACTGGATGGTTAGAAGTTAATTTCATCAATTGAAAATGAATCTAAGCCCTTAAATTTTTGATACAGAGAAACATTTTCTCACTTAGTTGTATTTGAGTTAGTCCTTTGAGATAAATGTATAATGTTCAAATGTAATCTAGTCCAATCTTCCAGGAAGTATTTATTAATTTTGTAAAAATGTATTAAATTAATAGAAGTAGAAGTACTGGTACTACTTCCAAATGAGAGGAGATGAAATTTAAAGAAAAACACAGATTCCATAACTGTAGGAAGGGGAGATGTAAATAAACAAATTGTTTGTTTTTTTCAATTTTTTTTGTGCACAATCTTAGTTGAAAACTTACCATCAGGATCTAGGTCAAATCTAATATAATCTTGTGAGAGGGTTGAAGAAGGAGAAGGAACCATAGGGCTGCAAGATGCTAAAGATATTGAAGGTCCAACTATACCATCTGCTTCACGTATAATGACTTCATAATGTTGGATTTCTTATAAAATTTAGAAGAGAGAAGTAATTAGAGGTACATAATTGTCACTTTTATAAAATGATCCTAACCACTATATTTCCAAGGAATTTTCATACAAGAAATCAGTGATGCTGTTTTTGTGGTTTCTTTTAGTTTTAGGAGTTAGGTTAGGGTTCTTTTTTATTGTGTGTATTAAAAAAAAAAAGTGATACACCGTGATTTTATGACCATAAAAACTGAGGTTTCCATTAAGTTTTAAAATAAGCTGATGCTAATTTATATTTCTGTACTTGATTATCCCATGTCATTAGATATCAGACTATAACCATATGTGATAAGAAGCTGAAAATTTTTGAAAATTTAGCTGTCTTTTGTGAGGTTTTGGAATACCTTGATTACCCATTTGTATAACATACATATGCTATAGCAGTATATATAAAATTTGCCAGATTGATGCACTTTTTATATTTTATATGGCATATCCATACATAATTTCTAAAGAAATTTGTTAGAGATTTATTGTTTTAAATGTTGTTGTTTTTTTTTTTTTTTTTTTTTACACAAAGGTGTGAATGAGATAAGGGAAAAATGTAAACTTTTTTAAAATAAAATTTAATTTTGTTGGTTTTTTCCCATTATGTCATGTCAAACGAATTGCTGTTATAAATTTCTTTATAACAAATTTCAGTAATCCAAAAATGGATCAAATGAGTTAAAATTACTTTAACCCTGCACCCCCAAAAAAAGGGGAAAGCTTTCCCTTTGGCAACTTCTGTAATCTGTTAATGATGGGCCTTGTCATAAACAGCTTTCATTCCTTTAACCTTCTGATGAAATTTTTTAAGACATCCATTGCTCAAATTTATTTTAGCAGGATGCATCTATTTATACCAGTTGAATTCTGATAGCTGGAACTGATTTTTGTTACAAAATGTATACACTTGCATCCATCAATGAATGTGGAATTCACTTGAATGACATTAAAACTTTCAAATGTAAAATTGTAAAATATTTTTACCAGGTACTGTTTTTTAATTAATCATCATTGTTAAAATATTTATTTCAAAGAATTTAACCTTTTTTAAAACATTATCATACCTGTTGTTAATGGATGAGGACTTTGAATTGTGAGTTCAGCTTTTATTGTTGCAGCTCCAGTGTATTCAAACAAATTTTTTGACACATCATATTTAACTGACAGTGGCCGAATCCAGTGCAGCATGTTTTTCTTAAAATTAATAATTTTATTTAGCCTAATGAAATAATTGAAGATTTTGAAAGAAATTAAGTTACATTCAAATGCCTTTTAGTAAAAACAATTTTCATTTGCAAGCCTTTACCATACTCGGAATGTTATGAATGTACAATGATTTGAGTTCCATAAAATGAACAAATCAAAATATTGTATAATTGTATTCATTCTTACCTCACTATACTTTGGTATATTTATTGCTGAGTCTGGCCACATAAGGCCCAATTCTATTGGTCCATTTTCTAAAGAAATAGTAGGCAAGTAGCGACTGTGGTCTGATTCAAAAAGGAATCTAAAGTAAAGGATATGATATGAAATGCAATAAATAGATAGGCCTACAGAAATTTTATTATTTAATCAATATAAACTAAAAACATTAGTGCACATGTACTTTCATGAAGGCAAACCAGGACATGACCTGTTTCACAAAGTGAGAGAATTTCATCTTCCTGGAGTATTAGAAGTAGCTTTTGTGTAAATGTTGATGTATAGTAAATGTATGATAATTTTATGATGATACAAATCATGTCAACCATTATGACATCATATTGTGTAGTTTATTATATTTGCTATTTGTATTTTTTTTATTGTGATGCAGGTAATCAAATGACCCTGAATTTTTATTTTACAACTATTTAAAGGTATTATCCCAATAAATATGACTTAAATTTTAAACACCTATGGCACTTTTTTAAATATAATATAGTTACAATTTTGAAACTTACACGCTATATCATTATTGTAAAAGTACATTTATTTATGTATTATTACCTGGTTGCCACAGGTAAGCCATTCTTAAGAAATATCACAGTTGACTTTTTCTCCCCAAAATAAGATATAAGAACACCAAACAAGTCTCCTGGATAAGAAATATAAACCAAACACATTTGCTTCTTATAAGAGAATTACAGTTTTGATAAATATGTCAATGAGACCAACAGTTAAATAAATAAAATATAAAATTGATATTTCATGAAAATAAGCCATTACATCTTTAATAAGAGGCTTTTTATGGCCATGGATAAAAGAATCTCACCGATTCCAAACTTTTCTCCTTCAGTGTTAGCCATGCGTTGATGTGATGTGTAACATTGCCCTGTATCACTGTGATAACCCACTGAGTCCAGCCAGTTTCCAGGGTGAGAATCTGGTTCAATATCAGGGCCAGCAACACCTAAGGTGATTTTGCTGTTCTTATCTAATAACAATTTGTAAAGGAATTCACATTAAAAACATACCTTTTTAATTTTTACCAGCATTAAAATTCACTCATGAATTAAATAAGTGTAAAATTTTGTGAGAGACCCACAAAATTAATCTTTAAGAATTAAAATGAAAAGAAACTATACTTTTCTTTTCTGGTATGTGAAAATAGACAGGTATTATATTAGCATTGAAGTAGGATTTTAAAACACTTTTCTCAAAAATATTTCACAAGCAGATATCTTGAATTTGAAATACTTACTTAAAGTTCTTATTTGAGCAAAGAAATATGGTTTCTCGTGCGTAAGGGGTTTCTGATACTGAAGAAAGTTGCATGTTTCTGAATATTCCTTCAACTTGACATTGCAAACTTGACCTGGAGTCGTCTCTACATCATCAAAAATAATGTCTCCGGTACAACGATACCTTGGCATCTTTAAATTTGTAGTTTTCTAATTCATATTACTAAAAAAAATCAGTCTGATCCAAAAATCTTTTGCTAGTCAAAAATATCATTCTAATGAGTTCCAAACTTGAGAAGAGAGATATGCACAGTCAAGAATAGTAATAATAATAATCAAGTTAGAAATAGCTTATATCCATTTAAAAAATTGTCATTGTCATTTAAAGTCTTATAACTTTTTAGTAAATAAATGTTCATTAAAATTTTGGCTTCTAATATTTGTGAAATAAATTTAAAAGGAAGTTTCTAGTTTCATAAATGTTCACGATCTCAGGTTATTTCTGTTCTGTAATAAGTCAGTTATAATCATCTATTGCATGAGGTTGTAATCCAAGTTCAAAATCATCATTACTTTAATTGTATGAAATGATTTTATTAACAATTAATTTCAAGATTTGTATGTACTATACATTAATTTGAGTAGCTTTCATTAACAGTTTTAAAAACTATTTTACTATTGATATCTTAAAATTTTTAATTAAGTCTATTCAGATAAAAGCATTATTAATTATTATAAATTATATATAATATAGCTCAAATTATCAGAATTTTGAAACAAAATTTTCAATTGTGTGATTAATATTTGGGTTATTTTCTTTTGGCATTTAAACCTTAGTATTTGATGTTGTAACTTTCTGAGTTATAACATTCATATAAATGCTTAAGCTATGTATTTAAATCACAAACTAAATCCATATAAAATTAAAGAGTATCAAAGTCTATCAATGCACCCGATCAATAGCATCATCACATGAGTAAAGATACTATGAATGCTTAGAAAACAAATTAAGTGTCCATAATGTGTAAAGTCTGGGGGGTTTTTTGAGTTAAAATATAATTCTAAGCAGAGGTTAGGATAGAAAAATCTCTTCATCTGGTCTTATAATTTTAAGCCTATGCATTTTATGAATTAATTTGATGTGAGTGCAGATTACTACAACTCAACAAATTAGAATGAACATATAGGCCTAAATAAGCTCAATGGTGTCTTTAGGGTTGGTGTCAGTCAGTATATTTATGGTGTCCCCCCTCCACCCCACCCTTTCAAGACTTCCCCAAGGACCTCCTCCTCGTCTGCCTGCCCTGGTGACATCCCGCTCTGGAGAAAACCTGCTCTGGTTGCAGCTATCTTTATATTGAACTTAGATCTGTTTTGAAACAAATTTTGGTGTCATGCTTGGGCTTGAGAATAAGAGGGTTTCACCCAGTGCGGTCTGCTAATGACACTACTGCTATTGTTGAATGTAGGCTTATTAATGTAATATTTAGGCCTAATATTATGACGTCTTTAATAATTGTTTAAATTGTGAATATGATATAATGGAAAGTGAAACGTGGACCCTAACAAAAATGTAAGAAAACCTATTTAACAAATGGGAGAGAAAATATACAGACCAACAAAGGATGAATATAGATGGAGAAGATGAACAGGATCCCATGTTAGGAGCAGAAATTAAAAAATGCAGGCTTCGCTGGGCAGGACAGTTATAAAGAATGCCAAATGACAGAGGAGTAAAAGGGTGCACCATCAAATCCACAGAGTACAATGGCTCAAAGGCAGACCTAGAATTAGATATAAAGACCATGTGGGAATCCAAGCATGGCAAAAAGCATCAGTTTCAGTTAAGTCTGAGTTGAAGGAGGTGGTACAGCAAGCCAAAGCCCTACCTGGGCTGTAGACCTAAAAGGTGAAATGATGGATGGATATACTCGTAAAAAATGGGATAATTTGGATAGCATGGCTGCACTTATAAAATATCCTACTAATAATTAGGCTAATAATAGAATTCCTATGCAATAATTTATTAAAAGACTGAAGAAGCAGTTTATTCATAAACTTTAACCAACCTAGACATTTTAAGATTATCAATAACCAATACCCTGTCTCTGTATAGTACTGTAGTTTAATTATTGATTGGATTGATACTACTATTAGTATTGTCAGTGCCAGCATTGAAAATTGATTGACGAAGACATTCGAATTGTTATTTATAGTAGTATATTCTTTGAATCATGGCTTGAAGATATTTAGTTTTAGGCCTACAATTTACATAAATTTACAATGACACAATCATGAATGATATATTAATATAATAACATTATTGAGCAATGCTTATGAATGACAAGCACAATGCTCTTGTTAGGCATTGCTAGTCTCGTCGCATCACATTCATTCACATCGAAATTATGATTTATAAATTTATACAATTGACCCTAATAATAATTAATATTATAATTGGTGTAAACGGTCGTGTAAACAATGGAGATCACCTTAATTTTTTTTTTTTTTTTTTATAAATATTCCATTCTGTGAAACAACTCGTTCTGCTACCGCAAATAAGTGAAAACAATATATCACGGCGGAGCTAAATTTAGAAAGTTTTTTAGCAATCATGTAAGGTAGCTAACCACGCTTTGGTTGCTAACAACAGGGAGTGCTCTAAAAATTAACGGAAGTTAATTTAAAGGGGCAATAATAGTTCTACACTTCTCTTTAACTTAAATGAGGCAGATAAAGAAAGGTAACTTACAATTAAACAACCCATGAAAACCAAGTTTTTCGTATAAATCCTTAATTAAATGTAATATCGAGCAACGGGGGTGGGGCTAAAAATTTGGCAAAACATGCATACAAGAAAAGTAATGCACTTTAAAAGAATCCCAATTTGGTGCCCCCTCCCCCCCTCCACCTGCACCTAGACCTAAGTCTCGCAACCGCACATTTTTTTCCCCGCCCTTGAGCTATATTAATATTCTAATGACCCACCCGCTTTTACACACCTGTCACCAGATTTATTTCACCAACAATTTTAGAAAAACAAAGGAAAATATTTATCGCAGTTATCAGTAATTTCATTTTATCTTACCCTTGAAAAACTGATTTTTGTGGGTTGGTGCTAAAAATTTGATAGAATGTGTTGTCATCGGAACTAGTCTATGACTATGTGCCAAGTTTCGACTCGATAGGTTGACTAGAAGTAGAAGTGGGCTTAGTGGGTCAATTAGCCGTCCGAAGACTTTGTCAGTCCCCCAACCAGCCAGCCACGAACAAAAGCGAAGTTAATATAAAGGATTTTTTTTTTTTTTAAAATGGCAACGATAATTTTAACTTGTGGTTTGGGAGTGGGATAGTCGAATTCTGCAGACGTCAATATTTTGATTTTAAAGCAGATAAAAATAAAAAGGCACATCCATGGAATATTGCAGCTATTATCATTATTATTTTATTGTGTGTGTGGAGAGGTGCTTGGAGGTGGGGGAAGTCGGTCAGAGCATCCATCGGTGCCAAAAGTAGGAATGATTGTCAAATTAAACCTACATCTACTAAATTCATTACCTTTATGGCACCGTCCCTGTGCCTGTGTATGGCTTTGGTCCGAGCTTAGTACCCCCCCCCCCCCCGATTGTATATAGGCCAACTAATTAAAGGAAGCTTATATTTTTGTCAGTTCCAGAGATTGTTTTAAACACACCAACATCCAGTGTGCGTGTGTGTGCGTGTGTGTGTGTTCCCACTTAAGTAGATAAAGTAGACAAAAATGTGACGGTTCGTCACGCTTATTTGGAAGAGTTGCATGTGTGAGTGTGTGTGTGTGGGGGGGGGGGCAGAACAATGTATTAAAGATTCAAAGAAATGACGATAAAAAATGTACTGATATTCATGATTACCAATCACATGTCTTCGATTTATTTTACTCTGTTACATTTCACCGTATTTCCCCGACCTTGCCAATAAAAATGCAGCACTGTGGGTGTGAAAGTTGATCAGGTGACTGATCATTATAAAATCACATGACATGATATTTGGGTTCTATAAAGGGCAAATACAAATTGTCTGACATAGGCCCGTGTTCCTCGATTAAGCTGTTATATTCCCCTGATCAGACGAGTAACGCGCCACCCTATTCTTTGTGTGTGTCATGAGACAAAAAAGTGTGGTGAAAAGTTCACTCGCTTCGATTTTCATGAGACAAAGGGTCGAGCATGTCAATGTCACTACACCCCATGGCCATGGGCGACTCTGGCCGGCATCCGCGCATCCTTCCACTTTGACTGGTGTATGACCTTACTAATATTTCGTCTGCATGGATTGACCCCCAACTGATAAAAATCAGACTCCTCATGTCTATCTCACTCTTCTTCTACCGATGAGGCATTTTTCTTCTTGGTTTCTGCCTGTATGCCAACTTGACTATTCTATAACTTCTATGGTATGATCTGGCAGTCTCTCGAGGTTACCCGCTGTCCAGAGCAGCCTCCAGTTTAAATACCGCGACTATGGTTGGGTCCTGGTACAAGTGATATATTGATCCAAAATTCCCACCATCAATATCATGCATATTGGCTGTCTATTAATTATGTCAACAATTTTAGAAAATGTTTTACCCAGCTCCCTCCCCACTTGTCAACAACTGTCAAACTTTCAAGGACCCCACCTCACCCCCAATTTTTAAATTAATAATGTTAACAATGCAATAGTGCATAGCAATTGATTTTATCATTTCCATATCAATATTATCGTGGGAAAGGCTAACATCATTCTATCTCGTCTAACCATTCAGTGCTTAAAATATAAGCATTTTCATTTCATTCAATAACACCCTTTCTTTCTTTTGCGATGATCGGATGAATGGGCAGAATCATTTATATTTAATTTATTTTAGGAACCGGATCTATTTCTACACATCATCGGTGCTAATCGGTACATTTGAAATTCTATAATATAAATATGTTAAAACGATTTCATCAATGACAATAATGACATAGCCTAGAGGATTAGATGAAACAGCTCTCTAAGAAGTTATATGAAATTCTGAAAATAGTAAATAAATAAATAATTATTATGAAGTAAAAGCTGATATTTGATTTCTAAACATTGTTTCCCTTTTCACCGGAAACAATATGGCGTTGCTTTAGGATACAAACAAAATGTTTGATAAAAACGCCAGGCCTATAGTTCATATGTTCACTCAGTGAAGATATTAATAATTCAAAAATGGATGCTCATTTATTAGAGCCAGATACCACAAATGAAGCCATCTCAAGTACTTTTTTAAAGCAACTGTTACTTTCTGCGGTTGGTATTTAATTTTTTTTTTTACTATTTCAAATTTGAATAACAATATTTAATATTATTAGCCGAGCCCCTTTAATTTTTGCTTTGTTTACCAAAGCGACAACAAATAACATGTTAATAAACGAATTTTTTAAATTTAGAAGAAAAACAAAATTAAGTTTCATCCTATCAATACTATCAGATTTGTCATTGTCATTTACAGCAAAAATTTTAAAATAGATCTGCTCCCAGTACAAAATCTGAAAAATGATTAATACTGTAATTTACTGTTACATGTCTCTTCTTGAGGTCCAGACAGATCCCTTTACTACTAATAACAACCCACTCTCACTCAAACTCTCATTGTCTAGATTGTCACAGACCCCAAGTTATATTATATTATACAAAAAAAATCACCTACTAAACATGATCACACAAGATGTCTTTCACTACATGAGTTCACAACATAACTCTAAGCTCAACTCTATCACTATGAGGACTTTCAACATGATACTACGACATCCCATAAAACTCTATGAGATCTCTCCACACACACAAACTATAATCTTGTGGTGACACACAATATATATACACTACACTCAGATGTTTATTATTTTACCCTTTCAACTAATGAAATTTAGACATATAATATCACTCTGACTCACGCCACAGTATTCAAAAGTGTTCACCTAAGAGGCCATCCATATAGTACTTAATAGCAAAAAAGTCAAATTTTCTTCCCTCAATCCCCCTGTTGAAAGGAAATTAGCGAAACAAAGTATGGGAAAACCTTTAAAAAAAAGAGGACTCAACAAAACAATGAATGTGTCAGCAAGAAGCCTTCTTTAGCGAGCTAACAATATTAAAAACAAAATATAAATAAAATATCATTTAGCTGCAATGTAGTATTAGAGAGCCTTTCTTTTCAGATAAAGATAATGAATACTTTAGTTTTTCCATTATGTGATGTAGACTATGTCAATATTCTCAAACTAGGATTGAAATAAAATTGTATAAAAAATATTCAACTTAAAAGTCAGGGCTTGAGAAAGTAAAGAATTATGGTTGGTAAAAGCATTAGTGTAACACAAATTAGATAAATATACCACACTTTATTCACAGCTCATGTACACCCTGCCCCCGCCCCCCTCCTGCAAATGGTGGGGCTAAATATTACTGTTGCTACCATACTGCTAGTGTGATATATATCTTAGCATGTTCACTTGTGAAAAAAACAACAATATGATGACAATAACAAAACATTGCATGATAATTTTACAGTATTAGAGATATGAATAGTTTATTTGTGGATTGTCAGAATTTCAGTATAATTATTGCAGAAGTATTATTTTTTTTGTCAATAAATGTATGTAATTTCTGTTGAGACACACCCCCCCCCCCACCTTCCCATTCATCTGTATGCATATGCAAAATCTCCAATCCAACCCCCCCTCCCCAGTGCATACATGTTATATGGATTGCCCCTAAACACTGTTATTCCCATACCTTGACATTTATACTACCATAAGGACAAACTCTGTAGGAATTACATATTTAACCTAAACATAATTTTATCTTCACTGTGGAATAACACGGAATGAAGGCAGAAATTAATGAGTTGTAGGAAATGAAATATTGCTTAGAAGCGGTGTCAACTTCCATTATTTGCAACTAGGCTGCCCAATGTCAATTTCATGTCAATTCATAAGGCATTTGATTCAGAAAAGATCTTTTTATAAAAAAGGTTGCTGGCCTATTGCTGGCTGATTGAGTAGGTGTTTGCACAAGGTTAGGGTGAGCTTGTGACCGGTGATTTCTCTGTGAAAAGTGTCGTTTTTAAGTTTGACATCTAAGCCTTTTAGTTACTGGTAGTTTTTAATTATATAAAACCATTGTTGATATTTGGGGAGATTTCACTATACTTCATTTCACAGTAACCCTACGTAAAATAATACCATTATTCTTTTTAAAATTACATTTCCACAATTTATGTTAAGATTGAAAACTGATCATTACAGGTACCGTAACAAAGAGTCTTCTACTAAGCAATGTGAAATTCAAATTGTAGTTTTCAATTTTACAGGATAACCAAAAGTTGCAACAGGACAATGTTTCTCAGAGCGGAATTCCTACAGTCAGCATCAAACCCAAAGCAGGCAAGTTTTGTAAACATAATTTTCAGAAGCAAAAATGTTTTGTTTCTCCAGTATGTGATATATAACTAGGATTTAAATACAATTCTATCAAGTTTATTCAAATTTTAAGTCTGGGCTTGAGAAAGTAAAGAATTATTGTTGGGAAAAGCATTATTTTCACCAAATTTATTCACATTTCTATTTCTCTTTCAAAATATACAGGCATGTGTATGAAAACAAGAACAGAAAGTGGGGATAAAGTGTTTATTAATATATGTCATTCAGAAAATGTGAGTGTGGCAATAATAATTAATTAACTTCCTTACTGATTGAAATAATTGCTTGAAATATAAAGCAAAATTTCATTTTGACCATTCGTAATAATTTTTTTTACATTACAGAGCAGTCATAGAAAAGAACTTTTAAAAGCATCCACTAATCCCTAAACACTAAAAATAATGAACAACACAGTGTAGCCCCAACAGAGAATACTCGCAAAATGTATTTGTTTTCTCATAATTTAGTTTTATTCTAGAAAGTAAAATAATTCAAGTTGTATCATCAATGACTGATCCAAAGGTTCCAGAACCTAAAGATCTTACAGATGATGAATTGCTCAAAGTTTTAGAGTCTGAGGACCCAACCCAATTCAGGATTCCAATGAGCATAGGGGAGCCCCATGCTGAGATAGACAAATGCAAGTTTAAACTAGAAATGAATTAAAATATGCAATTGTGTTCTCAAGTAGAACTGCTATTAAAAAGAAATTTTGAAACATTTTAGTTAAGATAAGTACATGCATTAAAAAAAAATAGTACACAAAAAGTACTTTTTTTTTAGAAATAAATTTATGTTCCAGATTCCAAGAATATTAAAATTTTCCTTTAAAGAAATGCTTGAAAGTTAAAGTCAGGAATATAAATTTAAATACTTTTCTAACTGTATTACACTATAACATATTAGTATTAGTAGGTAGAGACCATTCCATCTTGTAAACTACTAATCAGTTTTAATTTCTAATTGTGGTATATGGAAACAAACTAATTATGTTGTTTTCTTATTCAGCTGGCAGTGGTTGTACAGTCTATGATGTTGTCATTCATCCAAATTTTTTGAAAAAAATAGAAAAAAGTGAATTGTTCAAGACTTTTTTTCTCACAATAATGTGTGAAGGAGTAGAGAGCAAATATGATATTTTACTGAAACGAGGTAAGTTTTTAGTTGCAGTTATTTTTTAAAGATTTTTTAGAATTAAAATTGGTTTTGGTTACTTATGTGAAATGATTTTTTTAGTTGTATTTGTTGCTCACTTAAAATTAAAATAATTTCAAATAAGAACAATTAATTTAAATACCGTAACAAAAAAAAAAGGGGTGGGGAGAAATTCATTAAATATTTATATTTATTCATTTATTCAGATTGGATATTTCTCAAAAACCGTAAAAGCATTGGAAAGCTGATAGAGCAGACAATTCGAACAAAGCCTACACCTCTTATTTTGGACATGGATAAGTATGTGGAATTTAGTTTTCTTATGATCAAACATATTGTATGTTGTTTTTTTTCTATGTAGATAAAGCAAGGCAGGCCTGGCAAACTGCCCCCTCAGGCCACTGTCAATTTGGAAATGGGGGAATATGTAGATTAATAAATAACCTTGGCAACCTTATGACACATTAACATTGTTTGCCTCATAAAAATAACAATAATAGATTCCAATACATCCCAAGCTATAGCAATCGCTCTTTGTGAGGAAAAAAAGGCTTGGTAAAATACTTTATTTGATACTAACCACGACAAAAATAGCTTTGCTCATTTGAGAAATAGTGGTGAATCTTTACTCAAAATATGTTACTGTGATTTGAAAATGTCTCTCCTAAATTTACCACTTTACATATTATATAAATTTAAGGAACCAAAAAAAAAAAGACATTTAATAAGAAGCGAAAATCTTTTGAGCAAGGTAGTAAATATATAAAAAAATATAGTATTTTATAGGATTTCATTGACATTGATTTTACTATCTAGTACTGTCGGTGATCAACTACCCATGAGACAACCTGAGAAACGAAACTTGATTGAAGAAGTCCATCAGCAGGAAGAGGAGCTAAACAAAAAGTGAGAGAGAAAAAAATCCTTGTTATTTAACCAAAAATTGTAAATGTATCCTAGGACTTTCTGGTGCCTGGACTGCGTAAATTTGTTTTATTTAACATTAAAAATTTATTTTTGTTTTTGTAGTTCAAATACAAAATTGGTTTCTTTTCCAATAATATTTTTCATAAAAGTGACCCTGTAATCTTGACCCTTGTCAATCTCCATAACCACATTAAACTCTTCATTCAATGGCACAGTTAAAAGTCATACATTCACTTGTTTATCATCAAAAGGAACAAAACTTACATGCGATCTTGAAATATGACCCTAACATTTTTATATTCCATGTCATTTTTTAAAAAGAAATGGACATGCTTAATTAAATTAATAATTAAATGTCATTTTTTGGAATTAAAAAGTTAGTTGATCAAAGTATTTATGTAATTAACCAGTGGCATATAGTAATAGTATTACTTATTTTCTAGTCACATTATTCAAACATATTTAATTACCTCAACATTCTTTCCATTTTAACATTTTGGTTTGAATAAATTGTGAGCTTTTTTTTAAAGTATTTGTCTTCATATAATTTTTCTTAAAATTATTAATATGAAGTCAGTGTCAGTATCATCAATTTACAATCTAAATTACCAAAACTAATCCAAGTTATACATTTTGTCATTTATCTCATTTCAAAAGAAACCAAAAAATAACATTTTATAAAAAATTGTTATTAATATAGTAACAAATTGCAGCTAGTCATTAGAGTCGTGTAGAAAATGTTATTAGCGGTATTAGATTGTAGTAATATGTTAAGAATGAATATTCAATACTCAGAGCTCCAGAACCAAGCTTCACAATTGTACAAGAGCCCCTTGAGGGATATCCAGATTTTCTGGTTGCAGAAATTTCTCTTTCAAATATAGTAAGTTGTGGCCATATCAAATAATATTTTACCTTAAATCTAAACAAAATTGGAAGGTAAAAAATGGACGAAATTGGGCTACTTTATATTTTCTTCTTGGTATCTCTTTCGGAATTTTTCATTAAAAAAAAAAAATTCATGTCACACTGGCAAGTTTCTATAATTTATCTCTATCAAGAAACATAAAAATATATGAAGAGATTGAATGAAAGGTGGCTTTTCCACTTTTACAATTTTTGTGTATTTTTTGTGTAGATGTTTTAATCCCTTGAAGTTAATTTAAAAACACAGTAAAGTTGGCCAATGTCTCTACTAAATAAGATGTGTTATATTAATGCTCCAGAGCCATAAAATAAGTCAGACAATGGGTTTGGAAGTTAAGGCGAACTTTCGTGTTTTTCTGCTATAGATGACAGACCCAAAGACTTCGTGTGATTACAAAGTTTCAAAAAAGTCACTCACAATAAATGTATTATTTTTACTTCTTAGTCAAAAAAAGTCCAAATAACATCAGTTCCTTATTTTAATATAAAAGCTGAATGGGAGAATAAAATCTCACAGACATGTTTGCGTCAGATAATAAAGTTTATGTTTTCTTTTTTTTTTTCCTTCAGAAAACAGCACAGTCCTTGACCTTGAACATAGGAGAAGACCGCTTGGTTCTGACAACCAGGTCCCACACATACTACCTTGATATTTTCCTCCCCTATTATTTGCTCAGAGATGAGTGTGGAGCACAATTTAACAGAGCATCTAAAGTAAGGAATAATAACTTGATTGAGTCAGCCTTCCCTCTGTAGTAACATCATTTAATGTTCAAGTTTAACTACATTCATAAATGCCAAACTTAAAAATAAAAACCAGTCATGGAAACCTTTACACAGCAAATTAAAAATCAAAATAAATAACATTTTTCAGTTCATAAGAGGCTGGCATTTTTTAGCGTCCCTTATACAAAACACTCAGATATTCCTTGGTGGTTTGTCAACCACTCACTTAGAAACTTCCTCCGGTGCAGGCCTCATTCCAACTTCATGTTTCTCAAATTACATTGCGCTATTTAATTGATAGTTTGCAACAATGAAAATAAAAGATGTCAGCTGTAAATGACATATAAACAGAGAAGATCGGGACACTTTAGTTTAAGAAGTTGATAATAAGTTGTTTGACATTAAAATCAAGGCATCAATGTAATTAGTTTTATTACTAATGCTATTTAAGTGGTATAATAAGCCTATATTATAAATATTCAATAGAAATTAAAAGAATACTAGACACTGTAGTTCTGGCTTAGAATTGCACAGACGGACTTGTGATCATGGTTTATTACCTACTGCAATATTGTCAAAGTGCTGTCTATTCACAAATACGTTTCTACTGGACACCAATACACCACTCCCAGATTCTATATTTCGATAATACCTTATTGATAGCTTAACAATGTCAAGGTCACTTTGATTTAGAATGTTAAAGCCCAAATGTGACCAACTTTGAATTTATGTTAAGTAAATGTTTGAATGTGTGCAATCTTGGTTCTAAATCTGGTGAAAACCTGTACAAAACTGTAAAGTGCTGGACAGTGCCATTTAAATAGGTATTCTGAATGAAAATTTTATATTGAAATTAAATAAAATTCAACTATTCCCCTAAATAGAGCTGGCTTAATTAATCAGAACAGAACCACCAAATTTTAATTCTCTATCTCAAATTTTTAGAAAGTTATGAATTTTTAAAAACTTGGGAACATCTTCAATCTACGTTATTAGCAAATAAAAATTATTTTTAAAAATACTATTTCTTCACAGATTCTCACAGTAACAATGCCAGTGAGGCCTTCTGAGAAGTCTTGACTGACATCAATTGTCACAACATTAGTGCTATACAGCTAATTTTAATTTGATGTTCTTCAGGGGAAAAAATACAATAATTAAACTTTTATTTTTGTTCTTAACTTGAAATATTATTTTCTATGCAGTGTGTTGACATTAAATAAAATTGGACTCGATTAAGAAGTCAGGAATTGTGACTTGTTTCATTTCTTTAAAAAATGTTTTTTTCTTTGCTGAAAATATATTATGCATGTTACATCAGAACCAAAATGTGAATCTCCATATATCTGAAAAAATCCAAACTTTTGGCCCTAAACACTATGTCACCACATGATTGTAAAGGGAAGACATTGTTTTATCGAAGTGGCTATTCGAACCCGGTATCAGAAGTGAGGTTGGATTTTTTTTTAAATATTAAAAATACTATTTTTGGGTTTGTAAGACAAAATTTGGTATCCAATGAAAGATAATGAATGGACTATAGGTTAATAAACTTACTTCTTCAGTTTAACTGAAATAAACTACCACAAATGATATTGGAAGCGCATTTAGTCTGATGGGACCAGGGCACGCATGGCCACTTTTTGGACCCGGGTTACTATGGTAGTGCAGGTAACCTTTCCCTTGTTACTGTGGTAGTGCAGATAACTTGTCCCTAGTTACTGTGGTAGTGCAGGTAATCTTTCCCTTGTTACTGTGGTAGTGCAGGTAACCTTTCACTTGTTCCTGTGGTAATGCAGGTACTCTTTCCCTTGTTACTGTGGTAGTGCAGGTAATCTTTCACTTGTTACTGTGGTAGTGCAGGTAACCTTTCCCTTGTTCCTGTGATAGTGCAGGTAATCTTTCCCTTGTTACTGTGGTAGTGCAGGTAATCTTTCCCTTGTTATTGTGGTAGTGCAGGTAACCTTTCCCTTGTTCCTGTGGTAGTGCAGGTAATCTTTCCCTTGTTACTGTGGTAGTGCAGGTAATCTTTCCCTTGCTACTGTGGTAGTGCAGGTAACCTTTCCCTTGTTACTGTGGTAGTGCAGGTAACCTTTGGAGGGGCGACCCCACAGGTAGCATTTTTTAAAATTCATATTTGTCAAAATTATTTTTATTCAAGGTCACAGCTGACTGGAATACGGCCCGCCTTCATCAGGTTTTTCAATACAAAACTTCAAGAACACTTTATTAATTATAATAGCCTAACATATAGGGAAACATTAAAAAAATAGAAATATTGATGACATTCAATCACCCCCTTCTCCTTCGCTAAGCCACTTACAAATTACATTTGGCATTGAGGGTGAAAGGGGAGAGGCGGTTATGATTTTAGAAATTTTGTGGGGTGGGGGATCTCAACAGAAAGTTGGTTGGCCCACATTATTGTAAAAATTCTGCAAAAATTACCCTGAAATTCTGATATCGTTCAACTTTTCCAATAATGACAAAAAATTTCCACAACTCTTCCTTAGGGGCATCATTTCAGGGTTTTTTCATGTACATATCAATTTAAATAAAACCTGCAAATTTAGTGGGGGGGGGGGGAAGGACTATGTCCTTCTCCAATCTTTAGGAAACGCTGGTGGATGGTGATTTGATGTCATTTAATTTTTATTGTCTTGTGCGACATAATGGTGTATAAATAAATTGATTTTTTCGAAGTGGGAAGGGGTTGAGAGCAATGTTCCCTCTAAGGTTTGTTGGTTCGTGTGCAAAATCATAAAGTTGTGAGCAAATTTTTACACCATCAATTTTTTTGTGCGCAAAATTTTACAGCCTACAGACACAAACTTTAATCGAAATTAGCTGAACGTAATCAGAACTGCTACTTACTGCGCGGCCGTGCAGCTTAAAGGGAACATTGGTTGAGAGCTCATTGTACTTACGCAAAGGGGAGGGTCCCAAAAAGTAGGGGTGCAGAGTGGGAAGGGTTGGTTTTTTTGCATTGTAATTAATATTATATAGTGCCATAGACTATCTTAGTATAATATGTGACCCTTTGACATGTCATCAGTTTTGTGAATCACAATAGACATAGATCTAGTTATCAATAGCTAAAAAGAATATATTTATTATAAATATACAATGACTCTATTTTCAAAAATGTATTTAAGTAGTCTATACATTATAATTATTTATAAATAATAATTATTCCTCGATACAGCTGAAGTAGATATTTTTTAAAACATTTATTTCTGAGTTTTTCTGTGTGGTATCGATATTTAGTTTTCTAGTTTTCACCAGATGCGAAAGTGCAAACCGAAAATGGCAACCAAGAAAGGGCCTCTCCCAGGCCAGGTTTGATCATTAGCCTACGTTTGAGCATTTTTAACGTATTTATTATTTTCAGAATTAAGAGTAGTAAAAAAAGAACTGAACTTTTGAAAAAAAAAAAGTAGCTTAGAACAATTAAATCTGATTTTATATTATTACAATTGAAATCGCTTAGATTTAGTGTTAGTGCAAATCACCTCTTAGTTACTAGACATTACGGATTTTCCCGATTAAGAATTAAGGCCGCGTTGAAAACCATTTATATTAAAAATGCAAAGCAACCACCCTGGTGTGGCTTAAGATTTCATGCCTGTTCAAATTAGTATACTTCTTTAAAGAAAGAGCATATAACAAAAAATATGATTATTTTATGATCTAAAAAGAAAAAAGGCAGTGAATACATTTGAAAATACTTATTGAAATTTTCGTTTTCGGTTGTTTTTTTCCACGAAAAGTATCGATACCATAAAAAATAAAAATGAGCAAATGATTATATTTCAACATCAATCAATTGTTTAGTTTCATTCGAAATTTTGTTTATTAATAATCTTCTTCATTATTATAATATAGATTTAAACTTATAATTATATGTATTTGTAGGTCAGTGGCATGACTGGAGGGGGAGGGGATGACACCAAAATGGAAAAGAATAGCAAATTTGACAACTTTTAAAGGCTTTTACTTGAGTGTGTTTCATAACAGATCTAACTCTAAGTTAAATAAAAGAACAAGACAAGGTGCCATCAGAATAGGGTGTCAAATTGTCACCAGATCAGATGTTACCCAGAATAGCTTGCCACCAGATCAGATGTTACCCTGAACAGGTTGCCACCAGAAAATGGATCTTTTAAGAGCAGTGTGGCACCATGGCAGATTTCCTAAGATCACATTGCTCCATGCATACAATCTTGTATTAGGCCATATTATGCACCTACTGTTTGGGCTAATTACCTTAAAACAAAATTTTTCTCTCTTCAGAAAAGAGCTCTTAAGTCCTAAACTTGTTGGTAATCATGGAAATCCCTCTACTCAACAACTTCCTCATTTGCCAATTTTCAATAAATTAACATTTCTCTTTAAAATTTTCATTCTTTAAACTCTACATTATTTATGAAACCATTTTCCTAAGTAGCTTGATGGGTGTTTTTCCTTATAATCCGTGGTTCTCTCTCATCTTCCCATATCTTTTCTGTTATTGTTCTACCTGCATCTTACTGAGAGTTTTCTTGTTTTATCATATTCTTTCATGGTTCTCTTGCTGCTTCTTCTGCTGTTTAGTATAGGCCATCGTCTATGTAGTTACTTTTGTCCTGACTGTACTACTCCATTTACTTTACTATATTTCTCTTGTGCTTTAACCTTAGCTGTCTCTGCCCTACTGTGTCTGTTTTTCACTACTTGTCTTCTTAAATTCCACCTGTTAATCTTTGGCAGCGCATCAATCGAAAAAAAATATTTGTGCTTGTGTTGAAGTTCTAATAAATCATTACGTGTCAATGTTACTGATGTCTTGATTTTGCTATTGAATTTCTATCTGGTCATCTTCATCTGCTTGGTCTTGCAACACCTGAAATTTGTTTATTAAGGTAACTGTACATTACTGTCACTATTGCTAATTTCCCAGCAGTGCTAAAAAAAAAGTAATTTAGCAGCTGGTATGTCCTAGATTTTCTTCAGTTTTATCATCAGTCTTCTCCAAACTAGAAGGTGATGAAATGTGATATCAGCCCCTTTTCTTGTTCTTACATCTTGTAATTACCGCTGAACTTTCTGTTACTACAGATGTGGTCTTATTAATTCACTATTTTTAATAGCATGGGACATACCAGTTGGATGAATTTTCTTATGTTTGAATATGCTGTCCCCAATAATAATCTCATGTACAACACAGAAGTCCGCAATACTTTCACAATTTTTATTCATCTTTCCTAAACCATTGCTGCTAATAATTTCTTCATAGTCTCTAATTACTTTACCAGCATTTGCGTTTAAATCTCCATTTATGATATTTAAATCTCTATTTGGGAATTTTTAAGATAATGGTTGTAGTCTGTTGTAGAAGGCTCCTTTTAACTCTTCCTTTCTATTATCATTGGGTGCATAGCACTTATTTCATTCATCAGTATTCTCTTCTTTTTGGTAGGGTTTGGGGATGTTAGTGTTACAATTCTAGGACAATGAGCTTCCTATCCTAACAGTGCTCATTGTGCCATATGTGACACTATAAAGGCAACACGTTGATTGAATAAAGCATTGTTCTCTTTGAGTCTTGAGTATATTTATGGTTACCCTGAGTCAAATTTTTATCAGTCCAGAATAACCTGGCTTTAGCTGCAAGGCTTCATTAGTCTTCTAGGGGAAGAAGAGCCTTCCCATGTCAGGGCTGATTTTTCCTTGTTGATTTTTCTGTAGATATGTTTTTTTCCGCTCTTTTGGGACCATGGGCCATGTCACTGTTTACAAAAAATTATTATAGTTATTAAAAAAATTTTTTTTTGGCCATCCGTGGTCTACTAAAAAATCACTGCATGTGCCAAGTCTGACATGTGTGTCATAGGTTACCAAACCTTTGTATAATGAGATAATGTGAAATTATTATTTCAGGTACATCCAAGATTTTTTAATACAAATGCAACAAGCCACAAATGGGCTCTAGGTGCTATAGCAGAACTTATAGGTAAGGATTTATAATTTAAATAAAATATGAATAAACATGTAGCTTCCAAAATCAAATCAGAACAATATGTGTGACATTTCTCCTAACACACTTTGATTTTAGAGATGCTTTTTAGTGTAATTTTCATACACGTGTATTATTTTAAAAAGAATAGTTGCACTTATTGTATTAATATTTTTGCTACATGCAACAGTAAATCTTTATTTCCAGATAATTCTTATGACCCAGATGTGCGGGCGACAAGACTTGCAATAGAC